TCAGTCTTCTCAATCAGACTGCAATTTTAGAATCACTGATATCATCAAACAGTAGCACGTTTAGGCTCTTCTACACAATTCGTGTGGGCGGCATCTGCCTATCCGGCGATCGTGAGGGTTCCCACAGCATATAGCTTTCGTGGTTGATAGCTGCAATTAAGATCAGCATCTGCCCTACGTCTAAAACCCGGTTACGCGTTATTGTGAGGGGATAAGACAAGCGCTTCATTACAGGTTAATCTTTTTTGAAGGTAAATGGGACGAATCCCTTGCCAATTTTCAATTACATTCTTTTGAATGTTCTTTCAAATTACAAAACCAAAATCTCAACCTCTCCGAGCATTGAGATTGTCACACGTACCGTCTCGGGTGTGTACGATCCATGTTCGTGTGTGGTTTGTAGATTCGAAATTTGATTGAGCCTGCGCTATGTCCAATACGACTAATCCATCTTTCAGGATTAGAAGTGTGCTCTGTTGTTTCGACTTTATTTTAGTCTCTTCAGTCATGGATAGGTCCGAAGACCACCATGAGACAACAGTAAATGTGATTTGCGTGGAACGTGTTCATTACGAGATTCCAGCATTCACTGGGCAGTACGAGCGTTCGACTCGCTTTTACAAACTCTGTGTGACAGTGGAAGAATTTAGCAATCCACAGTGTCAAGAGTGCCCTACTTTTCAAGATTTCACAGAGACTATGTATATTATTAATTATACCTCAATTAAGTTTAAAATGACTTTGATTAGTCATATCGAAATTCAGAAATGTCTACTAGAGACAGCTGAAATTGAGTTCCAGATTCCAGGAACCAATCAGCATGCGATGACAGATTTCAGTCATCCAAAGGCACTGGACGTGAAAACAAATAAACATCAAAATTGATGAGTCCGTCCACAATAATTTAAGAACAATGAGTAAATACTCAGGTGTGCCTGGTCAACTCTAAGTTGACAATTTCATCTTTTCAAAATTTAGAAACATCAAAATTCAAAATTTCAGTTGGACGATGAAAAATTTAATCCGTCCTCAACACATTATAATTCAATCTGTCGTGCACTAAAGTGTGCACCTGATGAGGTATGGGCTGTTTAGCCCTGAGACCGAAACAGATGATATCGTTATGCGTATAATCGCACCTTTTACGTTGCAAGAGTGATTCCGCCACTAGGGCGTCTTTTCGCACGTATAACCCCAAGAACGAGTTTCGTGACCAATACATCTAACCTGCAAAATTAATTTAGAATTTAGAAGGTTGCGAAGCCAAACACTTGCACCTAATGTTACAAGTCACTCAAAATTATTAATTGGTTAAAGTGATTGTGACAGGTGATGTAGTTGCAAATCCAGCGGAGCTGGTCAGTCTTCTCAATCAGACTGCAATTTTAGAATCACTGATATCATCAAACAGTAGCACGTTTAGGCTCTTCTACACAATTCGTGTGGGCGGCATCTGCCTATCCGGCGATCGTGAGGGTTCCCACAGCATATAGCTTTCGTGGTTGATAGCTGCAATTAAGATCAGCATCTGCCCTACGTCTAAAACCCGGTTACGCGTTATTGTGAGGGGATAAGACAAGCGCTTCATTACAGGTTAATCTTTTTTGAAGGTAAATGGGACGAATCCCTTGCCAATTTTCAATTACATTCTTTTGAATGTTCTTTCAAATTACAAAACCAAAATCTCAACCTCTCCGAGCATTGAGATTGTCACACGTACCGTCTCGGGTGTGTACGATCCATGTTCGTGTGTGGTTTGTAGATTCGAAATTTGATTGAGCCTGCGCTATGTCCAATACGACTAATCCATCTTTCAGGATTAGAAGTGTGCTCTGTTGTTTCGACTTTATTTTAGTCTCTTCAGTCATGGATAGGTCCGAAGACCACCATGAGACAACAGTAAATGTGATTTGCGTGGAACGTGTTCATTACGAGATTCCAGCATTCACTGGGCAGTACGAGCGTTCGACTCGCTTTTACAAACTCTGTGTGACAGTGGAAGAATTTAGCAATCCACAGTGTCAAGAGTGCCCTACTTTTCAAGATTTCACAGAGACTATGTATATTATTAATTATACCTCAATTAAGTTTAAAATGACTTTGATTAGTCATATCGAAATTCAGAAATGTCTACTAGAGACAGCTGAAATTGAGTTCCAGATTCCAGGAACCAATCAGCATGCGATGACAGATTTCAGTCATCCAAAGGCACTGGACGTGAAAACAAATAAACATCAAAATTGATGAGTCCGTCCACAATAATTTAAGAACAATGAGTAAATACTCAGGTGTGCCTGGTCAACTCTAAGTTGACAATTTCATCTTTTCAAAATTTAGAAACATCAAAATTCAAAATTTCAGTTGGACGATGAAAAATTTAATCCGTCCTCAACACATTATAATTCAATCTGTCGTGCACTAAAGTGTGCACCTGATGAGGTATGGGCTGTTTAGCCCTGAGACCGAAACAGATGATATCGTTATGCGTATAATCGCACCTTTTACGTTGCAAGAGTGATTCCGCCACTAGGGCGTCTTTTCGCACGTATAACCCCAAGAACGAGTTTCGTGACCAATACATCTAACCTGCAAAATTAATTTAGAATTTAGAAGGTTGCGAAGCCAAACACTTGCACCTAATGTTACAAGTCACTCAAAATTATTAATTGGTTAAAGTGATTGTGACAGGTGATGTAGTTGCAAATCCAGCGGAGCTGGTCAGTCTTCTCAATCAGACTGCAATTTTAGAATCACTGATATCATCAAACAGTAGCACGTTTAGGCTCTTCTACACAATTCGTGTGGGCGGCATCTGCCTATCCGGCGATCGTGAGGGTTCCCACAGCATATAGCTTTCGTGGTTGATAGCTGCAATTAAGATCAGCATCTGCCCTACGTCTAAAACCCGGTTACGCGTTATTGTGAGGGGATAAGACAAGCGCTTCATTACAGGTTAATCTTTTTTGAAGGTAAATGGGACGAATCCCTTGCCAATTTTCAATTACATTCTTTTGAATGTTCTTTCAAATTACAAAACCAAAATCTCAACCTCTCCGAGCATTGAGATTGTCACACGTACCGTCTCGGGTGTGTACGATCCATGTTCGTGTGTGGTTTGTAGATTCGAAATTTGATTGAGCCTGCGCTATGTCCAATACGACTAATCCATCTTTCAGGATTAGAAGTGTGCTCTGTTGTTTCGACTTTATTTTAGTCTCTTCAGTCATGGATAGGTCCGAAGACCACCATGAGACAACAGTAAATGTGATTTGCGTGGAACGTGTTCATTACGAGATTCCAGCATTCACTGGGCAGTACGAGCGTTCGACTCGCTTTTACAAACTCTGTGTGACAGTGGAAGAATTTAGCAATCCACAGTGTCAAGAGTGCCCTACTTTTCAAGATTTCACAGAGACTATGTATATTATTAATTATACCTCAATTAAGTTTAAAATGACTTTGATTAGTCATATCGAAATTCAGAAATGTCTACTAGAGACAGCTGAAATTGAGTTCCAGATTCCAGGAACCAATCAGCATGCGATGACAGATTTCAGTCATCCAAAGGCACTGGACGTGAAAACAAATAAACATCAAAATTTTTACCATAGGTCTGAAACCCTTTAGTTTACCAGGTAGGCACTGTATCTGCACAACAAGCTATAGCTTTCTTTGATCATTGAACTTGTATTAAATATTCCTGGCTAAAGACAATGTTGACCTTTTGATGAAGAAAGCTATCATCCCATCCATTCCACACCCATTATTTTCTCATATTCCCTTAAAATACATATCCTAGTTTGTTGATGTCGTAGAGTTTAAATGCAATATAATTTTGTACACATAACATAATCTTACTGTACTGTTCTGTTCTTGTAGTATTATTTGGTTTGTATATAATTTTTAGGCGATTGTGTTGCATTTTATGTGTAATCTGTAATCTACAAACATCGGACGGAAACATTATAAAACATTCAAGTAAAGAAACATACATAAAATGTAACATAAATGCATGATTTTTGAAAAACCTAAATGACCAAACAATAGGTTTTTGAATGTCTGGTTAGGTGTTTATTGTTTACTTTAAACTATCTTAAGATGATGTAAAACGTCATACTTGTAATTCAGAATAATCCAGTAGCATTTTAATTTGTTACAAAATTTTGAGAGGTCTTGATTCAAACTCTACTTTCTAAAAGAGTACATCTTTGCAGGGGACAGCAGCCTATTTCCTGATGGGAATGTCATAAAAATAACCCTCTTTCTCTGTGATTCTGCCAACTTGGCTTGATATTCAATAAATGGCTTTCTTTTTAAAAAAATTAGACATAATTTCTTTTTAGAAGGATCTATTTATTATGGAGCCGAGCTTGTTTCTGTCTACGCGTTCTGAACGTAAAACTTTCTGACTGGACTGAAATTGTAATTTTACCCAAAGAGCGGCCATGGGCCTCCTGCTTACACATGACTATCCATGTTCTTAAAATCATATCGGGCTTTGTTTTGTGGACACGAACAATGTTGTGGTTTTTTTTTATTACTCAACGTTCTATTCTGGGATTGTTTTCCCGATTACTTCAGGCTAGGCCCCTCTAGGCGTGTTGGCATTATCACGTAGATAAAATCCATTGGTGATTGGTGGGATTTCCTCGGGTACCGAAGTCCTGTGCTTAAATTTAGAGAAAAAATTATAAGAATAAAAGTTTTTAATTGTATTAACTTTCTAAAAAAAAACATAAAACACAAGGTGTTTCATAGAACATTTCATAGTAAAATTGAAATTCTTATGTTTTTTCAGAATAAAATAGTTGAAGTTCTCCCTTTAATGTTTTATCTAAATCTAATAGTTTCTGAGATATGCCTACCAATGGCATAGCTAAGTTGTCCACTCTTCAGAATAATATAGTATGTAAGTTCTTGGTCGGGGAAGTAACCAATAAAAAGCCAAATATTTCCCACAAATTTTATTACATCAACGAGTAAAAATAAATATATGTAAATAGGTATAAATAAATATATTTATCACAAGAAACATCTATCACAGAGATCGGACGCATAACAGCCAATGGAGTTGAGTCTAGAATGTTACATTATAGTCAAATTCAATTCTCCTAAAAGTTTTTAGGAGTTTTATGTTGAATGGCTCCTCTCTCGACTATAATGTAGAGTTGCGTATGTGGTAGGTCAAAATACTCTACAATACCACATAGTAACTGACAAAATGTCTGATCTTAGTTTAATCAAACAAAACTGGTGTCTTTAAATGTAATGAGTGGAGCTGAGCAATGGCCTCTCTTGGCAGAACTTCCACCTGGCCTTGGTAATGGCAGGGACTCCTGGAAAACACAAAAATGAAATATTATGCGTAATGTTACTGGTCTTTAAAAAATGTTAACAAATAGTCTATGGATTTGTTAATACTTCATATTTATGTGTTTTCAAATATTAAATGTTACTGCGATACGTATGGGGTTAGGTCAAAAATCACCTTATTCTATAGAAAGTAATAGACATCTAATTTCCATGTTAAGGTAGTAGCCAGCTTTAGAATCTAAATTGTCTTAGTTTGACTAAGCCACTGACTGATTGTGCTGTACTAATTTATGTCAATTATGCACACTTCCCAACCAAGCCAAGTAGAGTAGTAGACAATTTATTATATTCTATAGAAATGTTTTGTCAGATTAATTTATAACTGAGATACAAATTACACTTGAATATATGGTTTCAGACTGTAGCACATTATGAGAGTGACCTATTCAACTACCTGTACAGTACGTTCTTAGATGAAAATTTGATACAGCTGGTGTTGTTAGGTCTACTGTAGATGTCTACTCCAGCATATACAAGATGAAACTGATACAGCTAGGCAATGGTCCCATTCTCTCAAAAGTCAAAAACTTGGAGTCACCCCTGACACTAGACTTGGCAACCCCATCTCATTCCCAACTAAAAGCTGAAACACCTACCTCATGACTTTCTAAAGTCACTGCTGAAGCACTCACCTGACTGTTGTGACTAGAGTAGGATCTGACTGCTCTCAGATGCAGCTGGTGCAGCAACCTAGCCACGGTCGCGTCTCCGGACTCGGCTTCAGGCAGCAGCTCAGTGCCGGTCGGTCGGCGAAGTAGGTCTGGTGTCTCACTTATACCTGCACATGGGGCTTTGTACTTGGAATTTACGAAAATAAACAATAATTTGATACAAGTATTGATTACAGACAATTTTTCTATTGGTTGGACTCAAATTATTCAGTTATAAGGTATGTAACATGGATTTGGAGAACGTGAAACGATTCTATGAACTTTGACCAGTGTGATCTAGTTAGTATTGAGCATTCAGACACAAAGAACTTTGATGCTAAGCTGAATTGATGTAGTAGTATCAACCAGAATGAAAGTATATAGATTTACTACAAACTGAAGTATGATGCTACATAATAGTTGAAAAAAGTCAATAATTTTAAAAAGTTAATCATTTTTAAAAAGCTAATATTCTACCAACCTAAGTCTGAAGAGTATGTTATAAGATTATCAAATCATATTCTTAATTAAATCATGCAGAACACCTTCAACACGTGTATTCGAACACATCTTACGAAATACAAACATGAACTCAACTTTAGGGACATTAAAAGAAATCGAAAGCCCCAATTTACTCAACTTTAGAGATTTGAGTTTTTTGTGTAATAATTTTCCACATCATTGCTTAAAACTTGTATAGGCCTACTTATTATTTATGGAATCAACAATTTATTTTGCTTATTTTTCAAGGACATGGTTACACTTATTAAAATAGCACATCTACGATCTAACAAAATAAAAACATTGACAAATCCAGCTACCAAAACGTAATCATGCTTCTTATGACACATATAGTTTCTGGAAATAAGGAAAATAAATAAAAACAACAAAGTTACATGATGACTGCAGTAGTTTGCCGTACGTTCATTGCTGAGGCAGCCAGTCAGGACTGCTTGTAGACGCTCTAGTCGCTTGGCTGGGTCCTCCCCTACCAGCCAATATGTCAGCATCTCTCCCTTGCCCTAAAAATCGACAAAAAGTAACATACTTAGACATGAAAAGGTAGAATTTTACAAGTTCCCTTCTTCTTAATCCAAACGCAATGTTGAGTCCTTGGAGGCTAGCGGCCATCTTGGATGGATTCAAACAGCTGCTGAAGGACATGGTGGAATAGAAGTTATTAATTTATCGTCCAAAAATCTTTTTTCCCAAACACCAAAGTGATTATAATTTAAATAGGTATCTAGTATACTGTGAGATTAGCAATGTTCTTTGTAGTTTTAAATTGTTCTCCAAGGGAGTTCCCCGACTAACTTTGCCTTATATTTACACCAAAAACGTTATATTTCAGTTATTTTTATCCGATATTTTTCTTCTTGGTATCATTTGATAGGGAATGAAAAATGCTAAAAAAAGATTTCCTTGGCACTTTTTATAGAATTAGCTGTTTTTGAGTTATTTAAGTCATAAAAATTCAAACGGCCGCCATTTCAAAATTTACTATTGGACCAGCTTTATTATTTTTTTTCTTTAATAGGTCTTGTGTATGTTAACATGCTTGCCAAATTTCAAATTTGTTGAATGAAAAACTTCACAGATAAAAGTTGTTTGTATAAAAAACAAAATGGCGGATAGCTATGCATTTTCGGACAAACCTTCACATAAACTTTTTTCTTCCTCTTAGTATGAGGATTCATTTCCCAAAGTCCTGAAACGGCTTTTTATGAACACCCTGTATAAAATACAAAATCTACAAGAGTGTACAAAAAATGAATATTAAAAGAATTCCATTCCATCTTAGGAGTAAATAAATATGCAACTCCTTTAGCAATTAATTGTTGTTATTGTCTATGCCACTGACATTTTCCATGGTAAGTTGTCTAAAATCACTCAAATTTTGTGAATATGACGTAAATCTAATCTCTCAGGCTCTGAAGTCTAAGACGCTGGCTAACATCACATCCACAATCTTACCTTGATCATAGTGAGCCCTCTCTCCTCAATGATGTACCCTCCCAGCCTCTGTAGCAGCTCGGTGGTTGTGTGTGAGATGTGTATACGGAAAGGCTCTCCAGTGCTCTCCATACGAGAGGCGGTGTTAACTGTGTCCCCGAACAAGCAATACCTCGGCATCTTCAGGCCAACCACTCCAGCTACACAGTGACCTGAGTACAAAGCCTCCGTGGTATTACTAAGGAAGGTGAGCTAGCTTACTTTCTATCCTACAAAGTGTTTCAGAATGAGATGTGGCATTCAACGCCTTATATCTCATAGAGAAAACCTAATTTGGAACCATCATCAAGTGGTTAAGCTTTGTTGTAAGGGGGTTCCTAACCCGTCGATTTTCACCGACTGTCAAATTTTCAAAAGGTAGTCATTTTCACAGCTTGTTTGCCTCAACGATCACCCAATCTGATAAACGGAATTTAGAGTAGGATTTCAACGTGTAGGGTTCATGAAGATTGTTTTTGGTGATGCTGATTTTAAGCATTTAAAGTTCCCAAGTTCCAAAGTAGTTTAAAATTCCCATCACAGAATGGTAAAACGGTTGTCTTACGACTATTTTGGGTTCTGGAATCTTACTTCTTCAGATATATGAGAAATATCATGCAATGTTTTCAGTTCCTTCCCGACTGAAGCCGGGATCAAATTCCTGATCCTGAAAAGACATGGAATCTTAATTTATTGAACAGTAGTGAAAATGTCAGCAAATTTACTTTTTATAATCTATAACACAATGTAGAAATTATTGGCTTGACCCATATGAGGTTCTCGAGAAGAATCCCAAAGATAATGGTATACCTGAATGTATCCCGATCCTCAACCTGAGAGGTTCGCCAGGCTTGTGACGTATCTCGAACCTCTGTATCTTGCTGAGCATGTGGAGCGCCATGGAGGCTATTTCTCCCGCGTGTCTGTCACCGTTCCTGACCGGCAGACCGCTCACCACCATGTACGCGTCACCTATCGTCTCTACCTGCAAAGTAAGAGTTGTTTATTTGTGAGACAAGTTAATAGCTTTTTAACGTTTGGAAATATCCCCAGCTTTTCTAAATGATTAATTAAACTTTTATCCTAAAACTGAGTGCTTATAGTGTTCACCTGAAAGGTTTGATCCTGTAAAAGGCCAGAAGCTTTTTGATAGTTTGAAAATGGGTCCATTCAGTCCAAGATCATGCAATAATTTATAATTGGTCCTAGTTGTAGAAACAGCTGGTATTCATAATGGTTATGAAGAGAAGACTGGTAGTCATAACAAAGCTACCAGATAATGTTGTGGTCATCATGCTCACAACAATGTACGATGCGTGTCACGTAACTATGTATCTGCAATTTTGAAAATGTTGATTGATCCTGAAAAAGTCCTGTGGAGTCTTATGATCGAGTATTCTCTGGCTTTAACTATCCTTAACAGACGAAAAAGTTCAAGTTTAAGTATACCAATATAACAGTAGCCCTGTGTAGTTGTAATTGACATTGTAGTAATATACAGTTATACACTCTACATTCTAGGTACCTCAAAGTAATATACTATGATAACCTTTTAGTTTCAAGTACGAAAAAAACTAAGTCAATTTTGCTATCGATGAAGTATATAGACTATGTAAATATTATCCACCCACTTAAACACGATATTCAAATACAAAATTATGATTCAAATTCAAATTGATTTAATTACTGTATGTACATTTCAGAAGCCATCCGCAATTTAAGTGGCTTACCTTGTAAACATCGTAGTGTGAAATTATGGAATCACAGCACGTGTATAGGTCGTTTAGAAGATCCACCACCTAGAAATGTAACCAAAACATGTAAAAACAATATAATTCACCTTAAACCCGTAAAGATTGTGCCAAAAGCAGTTTCGAAATTTTTGACTTGCAGTGAAAAAAGCACGTTTGATGAATCGAGAGGCTGAAACGTTCCAACATAATCCACCAATCATGTCCAGCTTTACTCTTCCACTCAGACAGAAAACTCGTGCCAAAACATTTATTTGTCTTTCGGTTCACCACTTTCACATGCAGGAGTTAATAATATGATCGAATAAACGGCATTGCACTACATTGTAACTTCTGAAAATTGTTTGTTAAGAGATTACATTAAAATTCTGCATTAATTTACCATTTTCTTGATTGAATTGTGTTTTTAGAGTTGTAAACAGTTTAGTTTAAATCAGCGTTTTTAAAGCTGGCTACCATTATCATGTTACCGTTTTTTGGTAAAATACTCGTCTAACTTTAAATTTAATTTTACCTACATAGTTGATGGCATTGACAACTAATCATTAATTAATGATTTTGCTTATAATCAACTATTCATAAATTGTACTGAGAGAAATAACCAATAAAAGATTAATATACGTCGTAAAAAATATACATTAGCATTTGATACAGACAGTTTTAAGATATAGTGAATAAGTATATGTGGGGCACGTTAACGTAGAAACAAATTTGACGTAACAACTCTATAATGCGTTTCTTGATACGAACCAAGTTCTTTATTCCTTGTTAAAAACATCCCGATTAAGAGATTCTACTATACTACAAAATAATATAAAATTCTTGCCAAACTTATAACAACATACTCGTAACAACTTTGTGTTACTAAACAGTCGATCAGAGTGGTTAAAGTCTCAAAGATATAAATCACACTACTAGTACACGTACCGAAAGTGTATATTCAACACTTAAAACGTGCTCGTGTTATAAACATCAATTTTATGCCATAGAGATGAAATATACTATTTTACAATGTAAGTTGGCCAACCTGTAGCGGGGTGCTAACAGCTGATAGCTCTGTGAAGCCTACAATGTCGCTGAAGTAGATGGTGACACACTGAAAACTCTCAGCCTCTACAGGGTCTCCTCTCTTAAGGGCCTCTGCTACAGTTCTTAAAAAAGGTACGTAAATATATTAAATTTACTCTTAATAATATATAGTAATTGTTGGATAAGGGGCGTTTACGGACATTTCGATGAAATGTGATACCTTTTGCAGGTTAGGAAATTACTTAAAACATAGCATAAGTAAAAATTGTGTTGTAAATACAAAAAAAATAATTGTGACTATCTCATTTAATAGAGTTCTTCGTTCTTTGGATTGTTAAACATTTTTTATTAAACACACAAGTTTGTAACTCCGGTGTAAGGCTTACGTATCTAAGTTGATACTACATTAATCATGAACTACAGTCACTTAAAATTGTTTTGCTAAATGCATTTATATTTAACAATTTACTTAAAATATGTATGAACTTATATTTGTAAATCCCTACCTAACATATACATTCGTGGGTTTTAAACTTATATTTCTAATAGACTACCTACTGATTTAGTAAATGAGAACCATATATATAAAAAAAACATTACTCATAATTGTTTGTAAAATTATTGTTTTATTAAACCATCCAAGCACATTAAATATAAAAATATTTTTTTCCAGAAAGAAATAATAAATGAGAAAACTGGGTTCAGACGACAGGGGACAAAGAGGGTGTCGAAGACTATTTGTTTTAGCAAACAAGAAAATAAAGACCTTCTTTAAAATCCAATTTCAGAGAACAATGGCCAGAATCGAGCTCCTTTCCTTCTGCTAAACATTCTTTCTTACAGAGCTATTATGAAAATATTTTATGAAAATAGTCTAAAAAATATATGAATATCGTGGCTATAACTTTGTATCATATAACTAATTGTTAACGAAATTAATCAACTAACTTTAGAAAATATAATTGAGGTGTTATATGTTTTTCAAGGCAGTGAGTGAATAAGTGAATAATAACTGAATGCTGGTTTAGGCTAAGGCCAGCAGTGGTTACTCTTAAAAAACACAAAATTTCGTTATCAACTAACTTCTAAACAAATGAAATCATTAGGTGATAATTCAGTTTATCGTTTGCTTTGTGTGCTATCCTAAATTACGATAAAGAAGGAATAGATATATGGTTGTAGAAAACATTATAGGGCTACTAAATAAATTTAGACCTATGAGTCAAAGCTAGAATATTTTAATCTTTATCTCCTGTTAAGAAATATAACGGAAAGTAAATAAAGATACGTCTTATAACACTTAAAACATATATTTACGCTTATACTGTTACTCACAAGACGGTAAATATACAAAATATGGTAAGTGGTGATCGATTTCGATTGGACACTCCAATCATCATCAGACCCAATAGGCGAATGTATGCTTATATGTTTTATGTTTTAATAATGTTTAAATATATGTTTTAAGTGTTATAAGACGTATCTTTATTTACTTTCCGTAAATGTAATAACACGTACAATGCTGATCAAGAAGTTATTTAAGAAATATAAGTCAAAGAAAATAAAGAGGTGGGAGGTTTAAGTTAGTGTGAAGAAGCCCGAGTAATATTTCATTATACAATGTTAAGAAATTAATGACTTGCATTTAATGTTCAGCAAAGTCAGGTGACCTTCCTAAATTCAAGGAATCATCTACACCACTAACTTGTGTAAAAATGTTTTAGACATTATGAAAATGACTTTAATAATAAAATACAAAATTAAAATAATAAAATATATAACAAATTCAACAAATTATATTCATGCGATTTAGTCTTGCATTTAACGTTCAGCAAAGTCAGGTGATCTTCCTAAATTCAAGGAATCATCTACACCACTAACTTGTGTAAAAATGTTTTAGACATTAAGAAAATGACTTTAATAATAAAATACAAAATTAAAATAATAAAATATATACCGTAACAAATTCAACAAATTATGTTCATGCGATTTAGTCACCTAAAAATAATATTAAGGATCCCAAACAATTTGTTTCTAAATAAATAAACAAAAAACCAGCCACAAAATAACGGACTAATCACCTTAGAACTTAATACAATAATTGATGTTCAAAGTCTGTTAACATGACGGGCTACAGCAAGGCGCAGCTAGGCAATTCCCGTTCAAACGGTCTGTACCCGGATTGCCTAACCCAGCGCCGTTGCATTTTTGACGATATACTACTAGGTAGTAGTAGTAGGCTCAGAAAAATAACCTCAAGCTGCCCTTATTAGTTTTATTGTGTTAAAAGACTGTTTATATTGAGTTTCTGGGATACAAAAGCAATGCAAAAAATGTCAAAGCATTAGATAAATTAATTATGCTATATACGAAAACTACGACTATTGTTGGTTGTAAATAATAAAAATTTTAAAATGTAGTATTCCTTAGTTTACGAAAAATATGTAAGTTTTTAAGTTTCATATTATTTCTTTCTTAATTTTGGATGTTGTTAATTTCTAATACTTGCCAAATTAATATAATGATGGTTTGAATTGTTTTAATACTACCACTGTATCTTTTTTCTGTGAACATTTTCAGCTCTTTGGGTTTTGTTACGTAAAGAACGATAATCATTTTATTCAGAAAACCGTTTTATAATAATTCTAAAAATAATTACAAAAATAAGACCTTTGCTCTGCCTTGTCTGTACTATTTTATGTGTTTTATCGTAAAATGACTACAGCTTCTTCAGTTTCTAAAACATGTCATAACGCTTGAATAAACAAAACCACAAAAAATACGGCAAGCCCTTACTATGAGGCTCATTTAAAAATACCATTGTTAAATAATAAAAAAAAAAAAACGATTAATAATTGTGATATTTAAGAATTCGAATGAAAATGCATATATCAAAGTATGATAAGAAATGTAATGCTTTAAAAGCAGCTTTTTAAACAGCTTACTTAGGCAGCATACGGTTGAGCAAAGCGTCAGTCTTCTTCTTCTCTTCAGTCAGCTGATTAGTTCTTTCTTGCACTAATCCTTCTAGGTTACACGCATACTTCTCCATTATGGCTAACATGTTGTCAAAAATGTTCGGCTTCCTAAAAGAAATACAATAAAAGATGATTGTGGTCATTTACCATCTGTACCACTATAACAAACAATAATTTTAGATTTTAATGTTTACATTATTGATAAATTGGACATTTTATTTTCCAATACAAAATTGAATTTACAAAATAAGAACAAGAAATGTGTGGTCGAATCTATGAACATCTTGGTTTAAAATTTTAGTCTTTATTAAGATTTGGACACTTTTTCTCAAGCTAAACAAACATTAAACTGTGGCATACTAACAGGCCTGACTGCATCTCCTTGAGTTTGACCCGGACGAATCGGAAGTCCGGTCTATTCTCAGGGTCTTCGTCCCAGCAGGACTTCATACACCTGACTACGTAGTCTGCTGCTTCGAGGGGAGTGGTGTCTGGGCGGAGATGGGTGCCTTGCTTGACGCGGGAGATGATCTCTAGAACAATACAATAGTTTCAAGAAAGTAAAATAAAAAAATAAAAACAATTGAATAAGAACTTCACAATACAAATTGGTATTTTGCAGTTTAGCATAACTCTTTATCTGCTATGTTTGGAATTGCTTCTTTGCAGTATATTATAATAGAGAGACAATCATTTAAACCTTTGACGTTGACCTTAAAGATGAACACATATCTAAGGTAAATGCACCAGTAGCTGACAGTGCTCCAGAAGCTGACAGTTTGAGTTTCTTTACATTATAATGGGGTCTCTTAAAAATATTTACACATGATTGCATTGTTAGAAGAACATATGTTTATTCTTGATTTGTTTACAAAAAAATCTGTGAAATTTAGCCCATACTCGCTGAATGGTGGTGGTTTGAAAGCGACCCTGTCTGTACACATCACATTTAGTCGATTCCCTTAATGAAATTGTTAAGAAGGTAAGTTTGGTTTTTAGTCATTTCGCTAAATTTCTTAAATAGTATTAATGATTGGGCTCATTATTTTTATCAATTATACCTTTGTTGACAATTTCATGATAAAATTGGGGTGTTAGGGGTTTTGGATTAAAAATTATATCAATGTCAGGCTTTGGTACACAAAATCCATACAAGTTCCAATAGCTGACAGGGGATATTTGCTACTTGCACAATATTAAATTGGTTTTACCCATCGAAATTTGCATGCTATTTATAATTTATGTGATCTCACATTTTTATAAAATGATTTTAATTTTTTAATTAATCAGCCAAATTGTCTAAAAAAATGTATATATGATTTTAATATAAATAAAAAATAGATATATTTTTTTAATGTAAATATTTTGTATTTTAAAATATGTAAAATAAATTTTCTTAATAAGGTTTTACATGATTTTATAATTTAATTATTAAGTTAGATTTTATTCGTCTTATAAATTATAAAACCCTTAGGTTTAGCAGCTAGTACATATAGTTCCAGTGTCAGCTACTGGGACAACTGACTGTCAGCTACTGGTACAAGCACTTTTTTCACTGTCAGCCACTGGAACACGTACAAAGGTTGAATTAAGTTTAAAAATGTTATAAAATATATTTAAAAACCCCTTTTTGTATGACAAATTTGAAAACTACACTAAATTTAGAATCACATAAAATCCGTAATATCTCTTTAGTTCCTATTTATTCAAAACCACGGATTATTAAGTGCGTATAGTTTCTTATACTGTCAGCTACTGGTGCGTTTACCTTACCCATAGAACAAATATTATAGTAAAATAGCATTCTTCCAGGTCAACTGCACATGAAACACCCAGATACAAACTGTAGATGTTTTATTACGCACAGGAAGAAGTGTAGTCAATGTGATATTTGTACATATTAAATATCTGCTGTATTACTTTACAAAATAAAGAGTCATTTGATATGATTTTGATTCAAACTACAATGAAGGTTAAAAGGTTTACATTAGACGAACTAAGTAAACAAACGTTTTTGTATGCACACATTCTGTTACTAGAGTGCAGGTTTGCACTTAAAATTCAATATCTACTGACCTCTGTGCGAGAGACTGATGTCGCCCCACGGACCACACCGACCTATGACCTCATACAGGATGAAGGCGAAGGAGTAGACGTCACCCTTCTGAGAGCCACGGGGGTGACTGTGAGGACTCCTCAGCAACTCTGGGGCTCGAACCAGCAGCCGGCGCTGACGCCTGTCCTCAGCATCTGGCTCGTCCTGTCCCGCTGGAACAGAATCAGCATGAGTCCTCGAGTACGATACGAGTGGAGAGGCTTCACTTTGATTCAGAAGTTAAAGGTTTGCTTGATAATTTCTTAGCTAACAAAGAGGAGGCTAGTGACTTTGAGTACTGCCACTTCAGCTCCGCTCTTTCCTGATACTCCTGCAGTATCAGGAAAGAGCGGAGCTGAAGTGGCAGTACTCAAAGAAACTAGTTTGGATGCATCCAAACTAGTTTCGATCATTTTTAATAGCAACAACACACGTGGTAAATCTTTACAGGTTTGTAGCCAACCTAATGTATAAATAATGAGAAGACATCAACAAACTTAAACTTTAACAGCTATAAACATTCCATAACATTGTTTGTAGCTTAGATAGGCACAAGGATGGTTTCTTAAGGAGTGTTAAATCCACGCCAATATCAAGTTAGTAATTGTCATCCTTCAAAAGTGACCATGAATAAACCACATTCCTCTCACCGGCAATATAAAAGCACTCAATATAAATATTAAGGTTCTCTTATCATTCTGGAACTCATGTTTCTAGATATACTTATAGCAACCACAATGACCATGTTTATTTTAGATCTCTAACAAAACTTGATAAATTATGAAATAAGATGTATAATTGGTACAGTCTTACCTTTGAATTCGTGCAGTCCAAAGTCTGTGATCTGCAGTATCCAGCGGCTATCCACAAGACAGTTACTGGAACGTAGATTACCGTGGGACACAATCTCACTGTCGTGTAGATATATCATTCCCTAGAAATATGATAATTGGATGATCAAAAACTTGACCAATATGTATTAAGTTAATTATAATCGTGGTAAAAATATGTAAGAGAATATAGAATAGTTTACCACGTGAAAACAACCTGATTACAAAATATGCCTATATGTGTACTGTGTAGAGAGGGTTTCTCTACAGAGATGAGGCGTGTTAGTGACATTAAGCGAGGATGAGCCAACAGGAGTACTGTAGTACTTCAAGCCTTCAGCCTTCAATATAAATACAGATCGTTTAAACAGGCACTTCAACCACGCGTATAGTGAAATATGTTGGTGAGGGTCATAAACCTAATCTTAGAGGACAATCTCCTACGGTTGCGTATTGTAGAGTCTACGATTTTGGGTGACAACTGTCACATTTGATACGGTCGTCACCCGGATTCAAGAAGTGATTCCGGAATCAACTAGATAATTCCGTTTTTATGACAGTCGTCGCAGTTTAAAGTGAGATTCAGGGTTTTCATTGGCAGTTATTCGTGTCATTAGAGGTTTTCAACAGTACCATATTGAGCAAACATTAAGCAGGCAAGAGATAATTTTCATGATGTATTATTTTAGTAAAACTGTTGTTATTCTAGGTTCAGTGGGCAGACCTACATTTGGACTTTAAACTACCTCTCACACCGAATCTCACAACCATTGGTGATTTTTAGGATTTGAACCCACACCCCCAAGAGTCGAGGCTATACTGTACCTTGATAAGGTCGGCGATGAGTGACGACACGAACATGTTGTCCAGGTGCATGTCCTCGTTGTTCAGCACATCCTGCAGACTGCCTCTAGCACAGTAGGTCGTCAGCAGACATATGTTGCCGGTGTCGACACAGGCACCGATGAACGTCACCACGTTCTCATGTCTTACCTCACGAATCTGCGAAAATTTTGCTATACACTATCACAAGTAAAAATGCTACTTAAGGGTATTTAGACCACAAATGTGCTTTATTTAATTTTTTAAGCCTTTTTATCTATCTAATTTGCTGGTGGACAGAATGCAAACTTGGTTAGCTATATTCATTTTAGTTAATTAAATAGGGAAGATCGTTATGCAACTTTTGAGTGGCTAAATTGTATTGCATTACATATCAAAACAGTCTCAGTCTTACACTAAGATCACAGATATTGTAAATTTCAACAACATAAAAACTGATGCTTTATACAATCAATATCGTTTATACCGCTTTGACTGTATATAGTAAGTAAAACTGATTGCAGCAAACACAATTCAAAACTTAATATGACCTTCAAACGAGGAAAAAGACTAACGGGCACAAGCAAAACGACCTTTTTGAACATAGCTTGAAGGTGACTTTAGTGTTAATGGTCGAAATTTTGAAATTGTCTTAATACACTGTCGTGCATAAATGTAAACCCCGAACTCTAAATCATATACAATGCCATTAAAATTAGAGAAACCTTTCATGAAGAAGTTAAAATTACAACAGCACATTCAGTCAAAATAATAATTGACAAAGCTAAAATCAACCTAATCAAATTTGCTAATTTGACACCTCAGGACTGTTCCTGAGTTATCAAATGTTTCAAACTGTTTTATTTTTTAAAACATTTTTATTAGGTCACTTTCTTGTCCGCTACAAATTTTGCAACCGATTTTATACTAACTTCCCGATGAGCTTGGGACTTGAAACTTGAAACATATCTCACAAATGGAAGACAATGCAATATTATACAATTTAATTTTCATATTTCCCTTGGGCTACGCCCCATGGGCTTGTTTTTATTAAATCGATTTCTTGCGAATTTTGATACTTCCCGATGAGCTAGAGACTTATGAGACTAATTTTCATATTTCCTTTCGGACTACGCCCCATGGGCTTGTTTTTATTAGCTCGCTTTCCTACAAATTTTGATATCAATTATAAACGATGTTCCCGATAAGCTAGAGACTTGAAATTTGAGACATAGCTCACAAATGCATGACAATGCAATATTATATCATTTAATTTTCATATTTCCCTTGGGCTACGCCCCATGGGCTTCCAAATTTTTCATGTTTACATTTTGAAAGGATGTAAATATATCAACTAATTTAAGTCAGCTGTAAATACTTAAATTTGACAGTTCGAAGAGCAGAGGTAAAGAGGTACAGGTTATGCTCCCAAGAGACTTTTTATACAAACAAAAATTTCAAAATAAAGATAAACAATCTGATTGCAGGTATCAAGGTGTTTGTAAATAATGTCAATTTTTGTTTATTTAGTATTCTATAAAGTAAACAATAAATATTTCGAGTGAATGCATTGCAGAGAAATTCCATAACAAACTATAGTTAAATTATTATATATTGTGAGTTTTCGGATTAATGAACTGTAAGCATGTAATAATATCAATTATTTGTGAATATTGCATGATAACTCATATTATGGTCAAGGAGACAGTCACCCAACGCAAGCGACGCCTAGAGAAGGAAAAGAAAAAAAGAGCTAAGCTTCAACAGAGTAGTTAAGCTTCAACAGGAATCGGAGGTTTGTAAATCGGCAAGACTACTACTACACGCTACTATGTCAGCGAAATGTACGATACTGACATTCCATCGGTTCGCATTGACTTTGGCAGAGATGGAATCCATTTGATAAAGACAAAATCGATACAGTTTCCGGCACTCCGAAACTATGGAACAATTGAGCGAACACAGATCCCAATAATACTATGCTGGGCCTGCACAGTCCATAAAATGCAAGGCTGTACTGTGGATCAGGCAGTTGTATACCTCGGGTCTGCACTATTTGCCAAAGGACAGGCATATGTCGCACTAAGTCGTGTCAGATCATTATATGGCATATGAATATAGGAACTTGACTGCTCAAAACTCACTGGAAAGACACCATGCAATGAAGGAGATGGAGAGAATGCGAAAACTAGATCATCCAGCATCATAACTGAGCACATTTAAAACTAATAACTAATAAGTACGGTATAGCTTTAATTTCAAGTAACAATTTTATCAAATATATTTATGAATAACATTTCTTTGTACTTTATTTCAGAAACATTGCGATTAAATAGATTGATATATTTATAGTTAGTAGGTAGGCCATACATGCAATCTAATACATAATTATATGCAAAGAAACTCAAATAAACCTTAGATTTCCCACATGCCTCTGTCTTAATCTGATATACAGGGTGTCACAAAAAAGTGTGATGGGCTATACAGGACCTAATTCTACATGCAAAAATAAGTCAATAATGAAGAATAAAATTTTTTTGATTTCGGCTTAGTTTAGCCGTAATCCGCCATTTTGTTTTTTGGGGAAAATATTTATTATTTCAAAATCCCTTTGAGATATTTTTACGAAACTTGGCAAAATTGTTTACACTATAGTAAGTAACATTTATAAAAAAATTATTATTTTAACTTTCCAAATTTAAAAATGGCGGCCGTTTGAATTCTTTAATGCCAAATTTCATGAAAACCGGTACCTAAATCAAAATTTTGTAAGACACAAAAGTTTTAGTATGTATTATGACAAATCCAACAAAACAAAAATGAATAAAATCGGTTCATAAATAAAGAAGCTGTGTTTATTTTAGTAATTTAGACTGAAATTACTTAACACGTTGGGTGCTGATGACGGGAATTCCCGCCATTGCTTAACATTGAAATAAATGCAATTTTCATGTTCAAACATGTCAACGGCACTTTAAGTGTTAATACGTTACATTGATTATTACATTACATTTAATACATTGTAATATTAATAATTTCAGTCTAAATTACTAAAATAAACACAGCTTCTTTATTTATGAACCGATTTTATTCATTTTTGTTTTGTTGGATTTGTCATAATAAATACTAAAACTTTTGTGTCTTACAAAATTTTGATTTAAGTACCGGTTTTCATGAAATTTGGCATAAAAAAATTCAAACGGCCGCCATTTTGAAATTTGGAAAGCTAAAATAATATTTTTTTAATAAATGTTACTTACTATAGTGTAAACAATTTTGCCAAGTTACGTAAAAATATCTCAAAGGGATTTTGAAATAATAAATATTTTCCCCAAAAAACAAAATGGCGGATTACGGCTAAACTAAGCCGAAATCCAAAAAATTTTATTCTTCATTTTTTACTTATTTTTGCATGTAGAATTAGGTCCTGTATAGCCCATCACACTTTTTTGTGACACCCTGTAGATGCTTGAAATAGATTTAACATGCACACACATTAAAACTAAAAAGTATAAAATAATTTATAAATAAAAAACTTTTTTTAAACAAAACGTTTTTAAACGCCCTAAAAAGTAGAAAATAATTTACAAATAATTTATAAATATGTTGAGAGAGTATAAATACTTGTACGATTTAAAACGAAAAACGTTGGGTGCATGCAATTAATTGATAATAATACATTAGTTCAGTAGGTGAAGGTAATTGTAAACTATCTATTGCATGCACCCCACGTTTTTCGTTTTAAATCGTACAAGTATTTATACTCTCTCAACATATTTATAAATTATTTGTAAATTATTTTCTACTTTTTAGGGCGTTTAAAAAAGTTTTGTTTAAAAAAGTTTTTTATTTATAAATTATTTATTTTGTACCTGTTTTAGCTCCTTCCTGATACTGCGTGTGATATCGAGGCTACGTTTGTGGATGGGTTTGATGGCGACGATGTTGCCCTTGTACAAACCAATGTGAGTGTAGGCTCGCTTTGGGCTCACTTCCGGTACCAGACTACGACAACCACTGTGCCTGTAGACTGGAAACTGTGGAGAAAATTATATTTATTATGTGGTTCAAAATTTCAATGGTCAAGGGGTTTCTGTTAATTTACTAACAATATTTTAACCAATTAGCAGAACAATTTGTCTTGCCTATTAATATTATAGGATTTGCCAAACTCAAAATATAGCTCTAAATATATCTGGAATGTGGAGCCTAGGTAGGCCTAATCCATCTGTTGATGATGGAAAGAGTTAACCTTTAGCTAACTCACTGTCTCAGTGTCAGTCTCACAATCACTTTAACGATTTCGAACCTGTAGACATTCGAATGTTCAGGAGTTGCACCTAATCCCCAACCTCTGGTGTAACCTAGTCAAGTTCATTGCCGGGTGAGCAGCTTAACTATTGAATTTGGATACTTGATGAACCATTCAACGTATATGCAGGAACCGTAGAAAAAGTTGGCCACTCATACAGTGTGTTGCTAGTTTAGTTCTATAAGCTTTCAAACTATTATAATTTATTGGGAAGTAACAGATGCTGGTTTTTAATAAACTGCCCTTTCAGTTTGGTAAATTTGAAAGGTTTTGTATACGAAATGTACTATTTCTGCCATTATTCAACTGAACGGCATTCCTTTACACTCCAAAACTAGCAAGAACTAAAGCATCGGTTTTAGCAACATATTTTCACGGCTGTGTACTAGTCAAACTCTCAAACCTCTCAGTAAAAAACTGTGACAAACTAAATTCGACATAATAAAACAACACTAATGTATATTAGTGATTACTCATACCTCGGTCGGGTAGGACACGCTAGGGCCTCCTCTAGGGTCCGCCATGGTAGGGATGATGGTGATGTCTCTCATGTCAATCTTCCACAACAGACAAGCTAGCTTCTGCTCATACCTGTAGTGTCTGTAAAGAAGATAATTTATTCTCTAATCAATTAATATGCCAAACGCCTTTGTATTAGACGGTCACAATATTATCTGTTTAGATATATTTTAAGGTTTGTAAGTGAAAGTGGTCGATAGGCTTCAGTGGTAACACATCATACTGGGACTACTACAAAAAGTAACAAGTTTTCTCAGTTGTAAATATCAGGCGACTGAATCTACTTTTTGAAATAAAAACAAGGCCAAAACGTACTTGTTTAAGCTTTGTTAGTAAACTAGGTCCTTTGTTTGATTACTCGGTATAGTTTATTCAAAGTCCTGTCAGGCTAGATAAAATATCGACACCACTCTTTCTTCTTTTCTATTAGACGAGTCACAGTGCAACGACGTAGATTAAACACTCCCATGTAAATTCGTCATTTAAATGAAACAGATAACGACCATTCTAAAGTACGATTGTGTACAGCTGTGCAGTGTGCAATACTATGTTGAGTACATTTTAATGCCCACGATGTTCTTTCAAAAACTTTAAAACCATTTCAATGAAGTAAAACTATATATTTACAGAAAGTTTCTTTTTCCTGGGAAAAAAGTGTTTGTTTTACCACCATTTGGTTTGGTGTAAAGCGTACCAAATGGTACCAGAAAACTCCTTTGGTTGAAGTTACGTCAGTGGAAATAAACGAAACACGAATATCACATACAAATCTAATTAAAATTTTACTATCTTCGAGAAATATAATTGTAAAATCCTGAATCAATATGACAACCCACTTGAACGCGAAAGTCACGGCGACGACGCAGAGCGCAGAGATGGCTGCCAAGGTCATGATGGCCTTCCAGTTGTAGCCGCAGCGCTCGTTGTCAAAACCACACAAGGGCTCGGCATGGGGCTGCCTCCCACTCACCCATTGGATAGGACGTCCCTCGTCGTAGTACCGGAACTTCTAGGAAAGGGACAGTAAAAGAACCTTAAGATAGTTTGTCTTAACAATCAAAAGGGCATACCGGTAATAGAACACGTAATAAGTAATTTTCAAGTTAATTTTCCATCTAATAAAAGTGTGAATTCAATCATAATGCACCAGTTCGGAATCTTCAGATTACTGAAGATTAATAAGTTGTAGTTTTATTTAAGTTAAAATGGTCTAGCAGAGCCTGAGGAAATTTTCTTGACCTCCCCTACTCTAAGATCCCTCTCAAGGAACCGACCAGCACTGGATTTGGGGTATACTTTTATCTATAATTGAACTACCATGGAAAATGTGTTGAAACAGACTGAATGTTAACTATGGTGAGTTATTAGATTTTGCAGCTATTCATGGAGTGTGACATTACTGTTGAAAAACTTTTGTTTTGGATTCTGTACAAAAATAAACACTCGCGAGGTATATTTTTGGTTCTCAAATCATTTGCTAGAATGATAAAATGTAAAGGTATTCTTTATCTGCTTGATATTACATTGAGTTATCTATACTAAAAAATGAGTAACGTTTGCGCACAATGATTTCAAATTTGGTAGAAATATCTTAGTTTTAGGCTAAAAACAATATCCCTTCTAGGCTCTGTTCTGGGAAAATTCGTTTTTCGTTAAAAACTTAAAATGAAACGACGTTTAAACCTCAAATCACATAAGACTAATTACATTAGTTTAACTTACTTAGATCAATTCACTCACCGGTATGTCAGTGCTGTCATCTGAGTACTGGAAGTATCCTACAGGTTGCATGCTCATCCTTAAACTGCCGTTGACTTCCTCGTCATCTAGGAGAGCCACGACGCTAAAGTTGCCTTCTGCGTCTCCGTTACCATCGATGTACACCTATAATGTTCAAAACGTATAATATTCAGTAGCGGTTCTAGGGCCTTGCTAAGGGAGCCACCTGGGAGTGTACCATGACTCCCGAGAGAGAAGGGGGGTCCAGGGGTCCTCCCCCAAATTTGGGGTTTAAAAACTGTTTGGTGGCTTTCTAAAGCCATATTTAGCGTCTAGAACTGTCTCCAAAAACCTCCTAGGTTAAGTTTCAGGACGAAATGTGTGTTAAAATTTATATTTCCTGGTTCCCATTTAGCGGGAGGTAGGTTTATCCTATAACCCTCTTCCTTGGAACCACCTCTGAGAATATTTATTCATCGTTTTTATGAGATCATTAGAATTGAATGCTATGTATGTGTATATATTTGACGTACCCTCTCTAGAGTAAACTGACTGATCCGGAGAGCATTTATTGTTATCTCTACTATCATAGCAAGAGAAAGAGACGAGAGGTATTTAATTAATTATTTCGTTTGACACTTTGAAGAGATGGCTAAATGCAAAATACATGTTTAACTGGCATTGCAGTTGGAAATTTGTAATTTTTTTTCCTAATCCTGAATATTGTCAGGTGTAAGATTTATCTTATTTACACTGTGATAAACTAACTGTGTATGTCTCCTCTACAGCTCCTACACATAGTTTTAGTATATTTTACAAATATTGCACTCTGACGTAACACATGAGCTAAGTCAGCAACAAAAGTTCTCCTTTAATTCATCCATCACTCATTCTTTCAGCTTCACCTCAAATTACAAATACTAGTGAGTCGGTGTCGTAGTACTGTGAATAAAATAAAAATAGAAACAAAAAACTCTGCAGTTTGAACCCACTACTTACATCATGTCCCTGAACGGAGTGGTAGGATCTGTTGAGGATATATTGCAGAATGGCTGAGCCATTCCTCGGGTCTTCACCGTTGTGGAAGATCTCTGTGAGGGCTCTAGCGTAGATCATGACCGCGTCGTAGAGATGAGCCGCGTGTATAGGCACCTGTTTAACATGAGATTGGTTTTAACATAAGATTGAATAACTACCTTATTTGGTGTTATGCACGACCTAGGAAACAAAGGAAAAGAGACATAAAGTAAGTCACGCCGTAGGCTTACCTTAAAATATGTTTCAGATATAGCTACTGTCAAGGACACGTTTGACATATTGAATATCCTTTGACATATCCTGTGGAAAGTGTACAGGAGTATGGTAATACAAATCCGACGAGATAAATATAAAGAAGTCTCTTAAACTAATAAAAAATGAATTTCAAAACTGTATGCAGCTTGTGAAAGTCAGCAAGGTAGGATATAATAAATTGTAATAAATCGACGTAATGTTGCTTTAAAACCAATGACAAGTTTTGTAAATAAAAATCAAACCCAAAATAGACGTTCTAGAAGTATTCTACTACATTCTTCTAAGTACTTATGCATTTTTCTAGTGTACCAACTTTAATGTGAACTAAACACCATAGATTCATTGACCAAACCCATATTTTTATGACCAGCCTACACATTAAATCCCTTGATAAACGTTCCCAGTTTGTGGAGGCACTAAAAAATCTCTACTTCGAGCAAATGGTCTCGGCTGGCGTGTCCTAGGGCTTCTGCGTCTTTGCGCGATTACTGGTGCGTATGCGTTTGAGAGTGAGAGTGAACGTTTTTTCTTTTGTATATTCTATTAATTTATAAAAATTACTATTTTTTTTTAATTAGTTAATTAGTTAAGTAAATTGAATTTTTGTTAACTTGTACTTGATGTGTTAAATATGTATTTTTATATTATATTAAGAAATGTCATTGTATTTTTATTTATTTATATTTAAGTTTGTCAGGTTAAGTGTAAGAGAGGGCCATGTGGCCCTAACTTTGCCTGGTAAAATAAAGAATTTTTCATTTCATTTCATTTCATTTCATATTTTTAAAAAGATTAAAATATTTATAATCAAAGTATGTCAATAAAATATTGTAAACACAGGAGTATTCAGTAGCGTAAAATGCGATTAACCTTTAGTTAATTGAATACCTCTGAGCCTAATTTCTTAATCCAAACACTGAGTTTGTAGTGTAAATAGCGTGTGGGTGTGTTTACATTAACTGTTTACACATATTGTTTGCAGGTTTAATGTTAACACACTTTCTACGTTTTTCAACAATCTTTATATGTTAAGTGATAGCGCAACAAATTTCCTGGTTTATTATACAATTGTGTATAGCTTGCAGACATCAATTATCTTTTTCCAGTGCTTACTTACTAAATTAATGCGTTGATAATATAAATTTAATATTGTAAAAACTTACTGAAATACTATCAAATATCTTGTTGTGGTATGGAACACAAAACGGTGGAAGTGTAGACTGTTTTTTCACCTCCTCGCATATTTCTCTAAAACAAAATAATGAATATATTGTTAAATATACTGTATGAATATAATGAAATATTCTAAGTAAAACAATATTTTATAGACTCTTCATTATGTTACAAAATTGTGAAGTTGATATTTGTTTTTATGTCTAACTCGCTACTGAACAATAATTGTAGGCTACACAAAAGGTACAAAATGACCTTGGCTAACTCATATTTTTTTTCGAGTATTAAAAAAAAATCCTCTCAAGCCTTGGTCTGTGGTGTCTAAAGTTTAAAAAGCGGAACTTTGGAAGAAAGGTTTTGTCTCCATTGAAAAACAAGGAAATCCACAAAATGTACATATTCCTCTATACACATATGTTTGCACTTAGTTAAAAATACTTATTTAGTTTTGACAAAGCTGATTTAAGTCAAAGCAAATTTTACAAAACTACGTACAATCAAGTTTTTCTCCATAAGTTTGCAGTGTTAACCATTTTATTCATGATATAAAAACCAATATTCTCTTCTGCAACCTTTTGCAAAACACAAAAAAAAATGCTTTGGAAATGTTTGGCAAGGCAATCGCAGTATTAAATACTGCGCTCTTATACAAAAGTTATGAAAAAAAACAAGATATATTGAACAACAAAAATGTGTAGCTAAAACTTACTTATATCGAGGGTTTCTAGGGTGGGAGGGGGTCAGCTTGAGCACGGATCTGAATCCTTTTAGTTCAGCCCCTTGGTGGATAAACGGATCCAAGTATTCTGCACAGGCAACAATAGTTGTCAATTCTTCTTAGGAACATAAATAAAATCATCGTAAATTATAGTATCTGGTTATTTGTGTATACTTTATTGGTGATGATTCTGTTGGATAGTAGGAAACAGATCAATATGCAATAAAAATTTATTTTTTACTCTTATTAAAGTATGACCATAAACATATTAATACCTGTCTAATTTTACGAAATTGAAAAGTATTAGATGAGAACAGAAATTAATTGCCATTCTCAACAGTTTGTAAGCCTGGGAAGCGAAATGAGCAAAACAAGATATGAGGCAAAGAATCAATGTCTCTGAAGTCCTTTTTCAAGCTTTCGAAAATCAATTGAACAGCCAAACTTTTATTATTAAATACCTGATAGTTGTGGGAAGTTAGGATTTTTACGAGGAGATTATGTAGGCACATTCTAAACTGTAATTATATATTTAGCTTCACTTTAATTTCAGCAACCATGCTCAGCTACCCCAGTAATCCATATGAAGATTTTTTCGAAGCCCTTTATAAGCTGAATCATAGAATAAATAAATGTATGGAAGAATGACTAAGAAAGAAAGTATTCTGTAATCCATCAATTATCTTATACCAATGTTTGATTAGTGTACATAATTAACAACATTTTAAAACATAGGTTTAAATTAGATACCCATCAATGCATGTTAACGGGATTCTAAACAGTTTTGAAATACCAGAGAAATCCATTTAAAACAGAGTTTTCTTCTTGTATTTCTAGCATTTATTTTGATCTCACCCACCTCTCTGTACAATACTCCTCTTGTGATCAGGATCGTATATCTCGTCATCTACTGAGATCACCACATAGTCTCCACGTTCTAGCAGTCTCCGCTGCTGTAGACACCTGACAAAGTCTACCAAGGCTATGTGCTCTCCTACAAACACGTACACTGGAAAAAGAGCAAACAGAATAATTCCAGTGGTCGGCTAAATAGAATATATATATTGTAAAGCCAATACTTACTAGTTATTTTAAGACATACAATTTATGTCAGGATCAATACAATTTGTCTATGCATGTGTGTGCTCGCATAAAAACCTTAAGGTTAATCGTTTGATCCCAAGCAGGGTATACCCAGAATCCATTTGTGATCGAGCTATCAATTAATGAATAAAAAAGTTGACTGACGATGGATAGTAAAAATACCATGTTGAAACAAACAAAATGAATAAACTTGAAATAACTTGACTTGATTGAAAAAAACTTCAAGATTTATCTAAGTTTTAATGTAGGTCCGCCAGACTTGAAGAATTAAGCAATGCAATTCGAAAAATGTTTTATTTCACTGGGTTGTGTTAATCCGGCATTTTTAAAAAGCTGTTGTTACAAAACTAAGTGTAAATGTCGTTTTGCTTGCCTGACCGTTATCTTCTGGGAGTTTGGTGATAAGAAGTGGGGGTCGAATCCTGGTTTATTCCCAAAAACTTCAAGTTACAATACAGTTCCTTAAAACCATCGCAGTGTTTGTTTCACTCTACAGTATATACAAAAATATACCAATTTACTCATTTATACGGGCCAAAGAAAAACTCAATATAGTTTTCTCTCTTTTACATAGGAATCTAAATATTTTCAATCAACATTTTAAAGAGTGTTATATGGATTACAGCAATTTAGCGACGATTGCACTGTAAGATAAATCACAATGTTGCTATTCTTTCCATTATTTTGTAAAATACTCCTAACCGATAAATCTGGAATTGTTTAATAAAGAGCTTTAGATTTCGCTTTTTTGTTCACTAAGGAAACCATCAAACTGTATTTGTTCCTTTTACAAAGGCAACAACGTCTTTATTGGCTAGGCGTTATATAAACAATTGTTTTTTTTTTGAAACAAGAATGGTTGAGAAACAATATAAAGTATTTTGTTTATTTGAGAAAACATTTTCATCTGAGTAATAAAACTTAAGTTCGATATTGAGATTATATATTAATAGGCAAGCGTGTTTCTTTAAAGCCCTTTTTCTCAGCTCGTATGCATCACTGGCAAAAATCTACGCTTATTGTTAGAAAGATATTTTCCTGCAGATGTGCAGAATCTCTTTATAAATTAAAATAGACTAAAAAATAAGCAAAATAAATAAATAAAAAAAAATCAACATGGACCATGCGTCGTATGGGTTGCCATGGTGGTGACGAAATAACAACGAAATATAAACAGAAATAAAAAAAAATCTAAGAAATTCTAGTCAATGTTTTATTTACAGCGTGGGTGAAAATAGAGAAGCCTATTATACATTAAATATTTTTGGTCGAGTTATCGACCACTGGACGACCTCGGGTAGAACTAAGCATACAATTCACAAACAGAAATAAACAAACAAATTGTAAGATGGTAGCTCTGGAATAAAAACAAATCTGTAATAATTTCAAAACAACGTGGGATAGAATGTTTTTGCAAGCTGCTTTTAAAACCAGTAGAATGGGTTCTTACAGAAAGAGATCAGAAGATTTAAATTTGTTATTGTTTAAGCAATCCCAAACAATTGGGTTTGAATTAGTTTGTTCCATGGACTGTTGTTCAGTACTGTACTACTTACCTTGTACTTGTTTTGTAACTGTTATATTTGACCATTGATACAAATAACCATTTCATCCCAATGATAAAGCTGTTGCAAGTATACAATTAAAAATCGTTGTAGTTAATGTGAGCCACAAACAAATTGTGCTAGTCTAAATTAATAAACTCTGTCCAATACACAAAATATTTTAACAAGTCAAATTAATGGAATGACTTATTGTGAGTAACTGTTGACAAGATGGGCCAGCAACAATAAGTAAGGAAGAAAATATAATTTGGGACAATAGCACATTCTTTGACTGGCTCACACAACTATGTGCTTTTTTTAGTAAAAAAAGAAAAATGTACCAGCTGGTTCATGGGACGTCAGTCAATGATATTACAGTAAAGTAAAGTAACGCAAATAAAAACATATAGGTTTTCATTGTTTAAAAAAATTAAAACTAGGAGGTTAAACGTTGTGCATGATATTGTAAGATGAAAGAATCTATTTTTACTGTTAATCTTTACCAATCACTATAGGGTGGGATACTATTCTCTAATTCATTTAGCAAGTAGAGTTTGTGTTCATTTGAATGCGTCTGGAACCCTATTTCTTTGGATGTTAACAAATAGTTCAGTAAAATAACTCATATCATTATCATAAAATTTAATTGTAGAATACAGGATAAGCTATTATACATTATCATACTATCATTATATTTTACTCCAATATTAATTTTATTTGGGGATTTAGAAAATATGTTTTATCGGGTTTCATAAATTTAATGTGGAACTTCTATCAAATGAATAAGAACAGACTAAAACAAATTAGAAGGATGTGTACATTGGGAAATCGTGTAAAAAACAAAACAAAAACAACAACGTATACACAGCACAAAAGAAACAATAGTATATAAAAATTAAAGTTTTGTAATTTAATGTTAATTTAAATTTTGAACCTTACAAAATTACAAAATTAGTATTTTTAAGGGCCAGTATACAGACTCATGAGGTTGAATTTACAAAGGTATTTATTTAAATTGCTTTTCGTTTAAATCCTGGAAATAATAAGAAATATTGAGTTAGTTGCTGACAATGTTTCCCCTTAAGTTGGTATCGATGATGTGGTGATAAAAACCAAAGTAATCAATAGTTGCAATTGCTTTCAACTTGTTTTTATACTTTCATATATGAGAAATACAGTGTTTCATGTGCAGTGTATGTTTGTAAAGAATTCAGTACTGTAGAGTTCTGGATACGCTGCTAGATTAATCTACTTTATGACTTCGTTGGGTAAAACTAATCAATCCCAGACTTTTAACTGTGTTTTATTAAGGTCATAAACAGATTTGAGATATTAGTATGAAGACGGACAAAGGATCATATGAAACAAGTTTAACTTCGATTTTTACAATGGCTGAATTCAGTTATATATTGTTTCTGGAAGTGACAGATTTCAATTTGGACGGTAACTTCATCTCGGAATCGTTTTAATTTGATAAACAAAAAGCGTTACAATGTGACAGAGCCTGCTTTTTACGGTAATTGTTGGGTGAAAATGACGTCTGAATGTCATTAAATCAATGGTGAGTCAAGCTCTAAATTAAATCTCCGATTTACTTACTTTGATATTTGTCAATAAAGCTTTGAAGATTATTTGTAAAATAATACACTTACAGGGAACTGAAATGTTTACAGACACATCCTGAGAAGCAATGAAGAACTGTTTCTAGGTATCGATGAGCGTATTAACAATAGGCTCCTAAGTTTTGGGAGTGAACTGGTCTAGTGGTAGAGCTCGGGGCTTCAGAGCCCGTGGTCCCGTGCCCAAATCCCGCTAATAACCAATGGAATTTAAATTTATACAAGAAATATGCTTAACAATATGGTTGATAAGTATGAATATTTCCATAATAACAATAACATAACGAATAAATGCCATAACAATCACCTTCAAAACAAGCTTTTCAACTTTTTTCTAGAGTTTGCCATTTTTATGAAAAAGTTAACTTACCAAATAACAAAAAAAAACTTTTTGGGTAAAGTAAAAATTAATATATAGATTCTGAAACCATAAAAAATTAATTCATTATACTGCATGTATCCATATTTTATTTATGGTTGGTGAAGTTCTCACGTTTGGCTTATATTGTGGGAATTTTCAAAGTCATAAGATGGTTTATGATACTTTAAAAAACAGGGGTTTGTTTACCTTCCAACTGTCATGAAAAAACTTTTTAACGAGCTAAACATTTTTGTTTTCACAGGAGTACGTATAATAAAACAATGGCAATTTTTATATATATACTCCATGCTTTTCTAAGTAGCTTGGTTACTTTTCTATAGAGCTCCAAACTTGAGTTTCTAAACTTTTTCCCCCGTCAGAGTTGACAGAGTTCCCCCGTCACACTCTAGGACTAGCCTACAGTAATGTGAAAAAAACAGTTCTGAGCTAGAACCTATTGTCCTAGGATGTGAAGGTGAGAGATAAAAAAGTTATGATCTTTTTATCAAATAGTAAATATTAATTTTAGTTTCAAAATCATGCATTATTACATCTTTGCTCACCTCTTGTTCTCTTGTACGTGTCATCAACTATCTTCTCCATCTCTTGTATGTCCTTGGGAATGTAATTGTTGAACTCATACACACCTGTCACTGATAGGTTGTATTCTCCGGCCAAGTCCTGCAAGGAACCAACGATATTTAAGTGTATTCTTGGATCAGTATCTCAATCATTAGGTAAGAATTTGAGGTAAAACGTAGAAAGGTATGAATATTGCCATTACATGATAAACACATATCATATGTGTAGAAAAAATAGTTTTAAATAGTAATTGAGCTAAGTAATAAAAAAAGAACTAAAATTTACACTTTTGTTAATGAACGCAATCTGTGTTTATTTATACAGTAGGTTTGGTAGCTGGTATTTAATGTATGTAAATTCTGGTAAAATATAGCAATTGTGTTGAGTAGACCAGCAATTTGTATTTGCCACAGTTGTGGCTAACTAAAAATAGTGAGGTATGAAAACATTCCAAAACCAATTTTTGATACCTTAGACTGTATATTTTTTCAGTGTTTATTCAAGTTTAATTATTCAGTAAATCTACATAATTATCCTGAGTATACAGTTCAAGTTTTTTTTATCAGTAAAATATAAAAACGAATTGGCTGTGGTTTGTCCTAAACATTAAAATATTTGAAAATTTACTATCTGAGTTTTTAAATATTAGTATTTCAGAGGTTTTAAATACTAAACACTTTTTGTGCTAGATTTGTTTGGTAGTTCAACGCCGGTTTTAGCGAATTTCCCTATAGGGAAGTAGCTATTACCGTAGGTCTCATGGTAAGACTTAGGCCCGGGACCGATTTACTTTTTCATTTTGATGTCCCCAGAGGACAAAAACACCATTCGTTCAAATTTTTATATATGTATATATATATAGATTTATATATATATATCTATATAAATAAAATTAGAGTTTTGTCTGTACATTGCTTAGAATAATGAACTTTTTGGTTATTTTTACATTTCATAGGTCAGAGAAACCGAATCAAACCTTATCTCAATTTCTGTCTGTCTGTCTGTCTGTCTGTCTGTCTGTCTATCTGTCATTCTCTTGGTAACGCTAAAATACGCACTTTATTACAACTACTCCTCAATAACTATAGCACTGTCCCGCCTGAAACTTATTTTCCAAATACTATACATATATGAGATGGTTTTAGACGTATTTCATCGAATATGAGACAGTTAGATATTTAACAGTAAACCCTTGAAAATCAAGTTTTTGTCGATTTTTGACGTGGAATTTCTGGAAGCCCATGTTAACCTTATGAGAAATGAAATTATTGAATCTTAACAGCTGTTTCAATTAAACAAGTTGGTTCTGTTCTGTGATGTTCAATAGCATTAAAGTTACAAGGATTACCAACAGGGTGCAGCACTAGCACTATTATTTCTTTTACATTTATGACAACAGCTAATTTGCAACCTGGAGGCGAGTGAGCGTAGCGAACGAGCTAACCTGAAGGCAAGTGAGCGTAGCGAACGAGCTAACCTGAAGGAAAGTGAGCGCAGCGAACGAGCTCCAACATACAGGTGAGTGAGCGTAGCGAACGAACTTCAACCAGGACGTGATTGAGCCATGCAAACGAGATCAGATAGTAAAAATAAAAGTAAGCCTACCGTTATAGGATCGACCGGCAGACACAGAGGTAATTTAACCTTTTATTGATTGTCATACCGATCCGGAACAACAAAAAACAACATAAAATGAAGCTATGTATAATAGTTTGGCCAGCATATCTTAAAATATGCAAACCAACTGCTGTTCTTTATATAAGAAGGTTTCAACTGAATATTATAAGATCCCCGTGCGTAGAACGGGTACACAGCTAGTATATATATATATATATATATATATATATAGATTTATATATATGTGTGTCCGTGAACACGATAACTTGAGTAATTTTTATCCGATTTTGATGAAATTTGGTTTGAAGGTGTAAGGCGGGATAAACTTGAATGAGTTCGCGATCCAGCATGATCGGACCATGGGAACAGGGTTTTATGGGGGGTTTTATGGGGTAAAAATTGGTTTTTCTCACTTTTGACCCTCAAAACACAAAATTTCCCAATTTTTCTCTAAACCTTCTTAAAGAGCTTAAAAAAACAAACAATTCAGTATATCAAAGTGTTTTTGTACAGTTATTAGTTACGGAGAAAACTAAAAAAATTGTAAATTTAAAATTCCCATGTTATTCTTATGGAGAATATTGTAAAATGTTGTAGTTTGCTTGTTTATGGATATCTTTTGATCAAACTTGGCAAATATATTCATTTTCTACTAAGCAATAATTATTTTACCTAAAACACACACTTTATTAGTTTCCTTGTAGCAGCAAACCTAGGTACTCGTTAAACCTAATGTTATTTAAATAGATGGATTGAAAATTAATTCAGCCAAATGGAAATTCGCTTAGACGGCAGGTTTGCTGCGGCGGGGGTATTTAATTTTGAAAAAATATTTACGTGCCCGTATGTTTATTCAATCATCGTATACGTTTTAATGGTACCTATTAGTAATTCAAAAATACCAAGAGGTGAACCATCTATTTGACTTATTTAAATCCATCCTTGAACTGTGATGAACCTCCTTCCCAGCTATATAACACGCCTATACAATAATGATACTTCACTTTCTAGATCCATTGATTAAATTTCTAATAATAGATTATTTCTGATCTTAGTGTAGGCGGTAACATCCGTTACAGTCCCATTTTACTTGAATGTACATCAAAGATTTCCAAATTGACAGCGCCTTCAGTTCGCGGTAATTTCTGAGATGGAAACATCGTTTGATGAGTCATTCAATAAAAGAGAAAAGTATTGTTAAATATTAAACATTTCCAATCAATTTGTTTCTTAAAACGAAATCGAAACAAAGCCGTAATAGGCCTACTCGTTTTAATTCGCTCAGCCATGATAGGACCGAATACCAAAATAATCAGTAAATATTATAATCACAGTATTGTGTAAATAGATGGTAAGTTGTATTGTAGTTTTAATTGTGAAAAATGTAATATAGACTGCACGTTTAGTATTTCTTTACCAACAAATATATTGTAATACATTTCTTTAGCAATTTGTTATTGTAAAAGAGCAAAACTAGTTATAATACCTCATGAGACAATTTACTTGTGATTAAGCATGGCTGGAAATAAATTTTTTATATACATGTTTATATTGTTACAATTACAACTAACTACGTCTTGCCATTAAATTTATTGATGAAAGGTTTAAAATGGCTAAAGTTACAGGAGTCAAACCTGTAAACATTTTACACAAAATATAAATGGTTTTTCATAATAATATAGCATATTTTACCTAAAAAGCTAGATTATGAGTAATTGATGTGATAAAATATACATAGAAAAAGCGATCAGATTAAAGTTCTTTTATGATTATTAAGAATGTTGATAGATATGTGGTCGTTTTTCAATGTGTTTTTTTTTGTTCCTGCTTATTGATGTTAATGCTACTCATGGAAACACTCCTGTAAACATCTCAATTTAACATTTCTGAGCTGTAGATGGAAAACTGTAGTTTAAGATGTTTCCTCAAACTTAATTTAGCTCTTATTACGTTGGTAGATTAATTAATTAATTACTATGTTGAAACAAACAGGTATTTAACGTGATTTTCCCGAACGATTAAATAAATAGTTTAAAACTGGACGAAGGACTATGTTCCCTACTCTTATTACGAGTCTTACAAAACTTCCCCTAATGCATTATTCCTGGAAGTGACAGGTTTTATGACAAGCAGTTACTCTCTCTCAGAAGCATTGTAGTTGGATAAACAACAAAGTGCCCTAGAGTGACATCACCAAATCATGGTTAATTTATTAAATGAAAACAGCGTCATTTCACTTACAGATTCATGTTTACAATTATACATTCTATAAATAAGACTAGAGTGAAACCTTTGATATCTAATTTAAAATATTTAGCCTAGTAACTTTTGTTGCTTATATTGTTGTTTTAACCACCCACAATGCATCCTTTATAAGGTCCTGTAATTATTTTTTTTATTATGATAGCTATTTCTCTTACACTTAAAATTGTAAAACCACGATGATTGTAACTATGTAATAACTAATAGCTATATGATAAGTATTAATGAATAAGTACATCTGTTACCCAAATCAAGCACAATACATTGGATTAATAAAGATATACATTAATTTGTTTTGTAAAATTAGTAATGGGTAAATATATCCCCTTCAAATTACATAGCTTTGAATGATACATTATTAGTGGACAAAAATAATTACCATAGCCATCGTTATTACAGTCTTCCGTATTGGCAATAAGCGTGAAAAAATATTCGTATCATGCAAAATATAAAAACATTATTTAACAAAAACGTTTGATAAAGGGGTCAAAAAGTGAGTCACAAACCCGTATAAATTGTTTTGATTGTACACTCGTTGAATATTATAATGGGTTCCCATCTATACTCTTATATCATTTCGTGTCCAATTAAACTTTGTACATAAACTATAACTCAATATACATATCCTAATATAATAACAATTTAATTAAACAAAATACAAAGAATTCTATTTAAACATTTCTAAAAATACGTTCGAAAAACAATGGTTATAAAACTTGTTTATAATTTAATTAAAATGCCTAAGATGACGTAGGAAATGCTACAATGAATCAATAAAATTATTTTAGCTTAGCAGTATTAAAGATAAGATTAACGTTTCGCAATTAAAACCTATGTGTTTACCATTAGACTTTATAAAAATATAACTTCCTTTACGTTAGGACTTCGTAAATTAACTAACGTTGTTTAACAAGCAAAGTTGACCAAACCTACTTAACAATGCTCTTGAGATCATTGGTAGCCTATCATGGATTACAATCCCTACAGAGCAATTTCTGTTCTCAACTTTCAAGTAGCAAAGATAACTATGATAACTGTAATTGAAACAATTTAAGCTATCAAATATTCCTGGAATATGTCCAGCTGGAGTTTTTTTTCACGCAATAGAAATTGCAAGAAGTAGAAAGAATTATTGATCACCTCATATTTTAGTAGCCCTGTTTCCTTTATTTCATTTCTGATCAGCTGATATGCATTGTTTGGTAATTGTCTACATGCATTATTGTCATTGAGATTTTATCGTAAATAAAACATTAACATTATTTACATAAACAGTAACCCATGTTTAAGAATGATATTGCCCGTAAGAAAATAAGTATCGTATTATTGATATTAAATGAAACCTGTAGATGATTTGTTGTGTTCTGTAATCTCACCTGGAGACATTATTGCAAACAATTCTTGTCATAAATATAATTTTATCATTAATTCATTCTTATACAATACATATTCTTTGACCCTACAAAAAATATGTTATACATAGTTCCCAAAAACTCTCAACATCCCTAAACTTTGTACAAAGCAATCCAGCAATGCATATCAGCTGATTGGTATTGAAGCAAAAAAAAAAAAAAAAAAAAAAAAAAACAGGGCTACCAACTTATGAGTTTGTTTTGTGCTCCAATTGACTGAATGATTTGAATGAATGTACTTGTAATTTAGCCATAATAAAAACACTCTAAAAAAATGTATTACATTTTAAAATTATAGGTCTAAGTATTTCATAGTGTATTTGTTAATAGTTATTTTGTAGAAATATTTTCACACAAAACTATTTAACCATATTGGATCAGTAAACATTTAGCTGATTTACCTCCAACATGATCCTTGAGAGAAAACATTTTAAAATAATATTCCGACAGGAAAAATTACCTGCAGTGATAAAACCGCCATTTTATATTTCATAGCTGGAAGTAAAAGTGAGAGTTATTAAAAGTTGGAGTCGCGATGTAATTAAAAACAACTAACCCCAACTTCCAAGAATTACTGGGTTTTGCGACAAAAAGCAGACAGTGGATTTATTTTGAGTTAGTATAAAGTGTTGAAGTTAACTTTCGTAACTATAATAGTTAATTATAATAGCCTCATAAAATATACCTTACCTATTGATTGCTCTAACTTTAATTTTGACCAGATATAATAGTATAAAATCGATACAACAAATGGTGAGGTAATGTTTCTGTGATTTAATCTGGAATGGGCCTAACATTAGCTACAATTAAGGGTGCATCCGAATTCTCGACTATTTATCAAATTTATACTAAATAACTTCTTGATCAGCATTGTACGTGTTATTAAATTTACGGAAAGTAAATAAAAGAAACGTCTTATAACACTTAAAACATATATTTACGCTTATACTGTTACTCACAAGACGGTAAATATACAAAAAGATGGTAAGTGGTGATCGATTTAGATTGGACACTCCAATCATCATCAGACCCAATAGGAGAACATTCGCCTATTGGGTCTGATGATGATTGGAGTGTCCAATCGAAATCGATCACCACTTACCATTTTTTTGTGTATTTACCGTCTTGTGAGTAACAGTATAAGCGTAAATATATGTTTTAAGTGTTATAAGACGTTTCTTTTATTTACTTTCCGCAAATTTATACCTGAAATAAAAAGGACCCCTAATTTTATTTTGTATTGCTGAGGTTTGCTGAGGTCACTCTCATAAAAGTGATGGCTGAAAATACTAGATAGAATTTACTGTTACATCAAAAGAACTCATCAACAATGCTGTTAATTAAACTAAGTAAACTACCATGAGTCGTGTATGATTGGTTAGATGGTACCTGTTGAAACAATGACAGTGTGATGATCTTCCTACGCATAGGATTTGCTACAATATCCAAACTAATCGCCTCATAAGAGTGGAAATCACTTAGAATACTTTTGTGGATGAAGTAAAGAACACTTTGTAAAATTTGAGATACTAACTTGGGTAGCTAGCTTTGATGCAATATAAACCAACCTCATGCTGTCTTTTTTTATTTGTTTTATTGCATAGAATGTTCAGGAATAATAGATTTATAACAGTTTGGTTGGTAAATCTTATAATACATGGTGAATCTAAAATTATTGTTACACTTTTGAAACTATATAAGTGAAAAACTATACTACCTATCATCACGGGGTGAGAATCAATTGAAATAGGAGATTTTAAAGAATTACTTCAATCATCGAATGGGTCTGTGCTGTGCAGCCAGAGGGGGCACTAGAGCATGTTTCATCGACAGACGTTATTCACTCTTGAACTATCCCAGCACTAGGAATTAAAATTGTTGGGACCCCCGGACGAATTAACCAAGGTAGAATTATAATTATACGACCAGTTTTTAGCCATAATCTTCATAAATTTATTTATTAAACCTTGCTTTTGTGTAGATACTTTTTACCTCACGAGTTTCATAGATTTTAAATTGTGTAATTTATTTAAAACCGTAGTTACAATTTTAAAATGTCTGTAGAGGCTAACTTTGCAACTATGTTTACCAAAGTAGTATCAAACTTAACTTTAGAATCTCCTCTTTAAATTGATTCTCACCCCGCGATGATAGGTTGTATAGTTTATCACATATAGAGTTCCAAAAGTGTAACAGTGATTTAGAATTACCCTGTATTATCACCTAGTGGTATTATCAGTACATTACCTTGATGGCCTCCTTGATCTGTATGCCCCAGGCGGGACTTTTTCCCGCCACAACGACGAACTTGTGCCAGTTGAAGGCGTGAAGCAGCGCCACCACAGACTTGGACACCTTCGTGCTCGGTGCAAGGGTGCGTGCAAACGTGTAGTAAACTCGCTTATCCGACACACTCTTATCTGCACACTTCTGTAACAACATAATAATGAGCAAATAAGAAAATGTAGAAAGTTGTAAAAGAGTTAAGTAGAAAGATTTCTAGATCGGGTGAGTTGTTGTAAAGGGTTAAAAGGATATATTGAATTGTTGTGATAAACTGGACGTACGGCGATAGATATTTGGAATAACTGTAGCTAATTCATTCATAACACAGTTGAATGGGCTATTCACTTAGTAAGTTACTGGGGAATTCGATAAATCCTATTTCCTCTCTTAATTTGTGATTTTCGTAATTTATGTGCCACAAAAGTTGTTACTGATCATCATAATGAGCGATGCTTTTTTTAGTTTGGCTGGTTTGGCTTTGTTATAAAAAGTCACTGTATATTATATTAGTATGTTGCCGAGAAAACCACTATCTGTTGGTAATCCAATTTAACGTCAATTTTCATTCTGAAACTGGCTTCAACCATTACCCTTTGAATGCTAAAACTGTTCACTATAGAGTGCTATGACATCCTATTTAGGCTATGTGTCGAGTTTTAAAATGAAACTATCGTAGCACCTAAAACTGAAAATATAACTTTCGGTAGAACATCATGTGAGTTGGCTTTCCAACTACGTCCTATTGTAATTGAACATTGACTACATCTAGACCACGCGGAATGTCCACTAGTATCTCAAGTAAATGCTATAACTTGCTACGAAATTTGAATGGAAGGTCTAAAAGTCTCCACAAACTGTGGAGGTGCAACGGCTTAAAGAGGTCAAATTTTGCTCCCAATCTGTACCAGCGGTATTATGTTTTGTTGGTGATTAACGGGGTTTTAACATGGGATGCTATAACCAACCCTGGTAGGTCTACCCGAATGGGTTTGACTCAATACTCCGTTTGGAAAAAATAAAATTGTTTGCCTAATATTAAATATATTATTTATTAGTTAAATGGCGTCACGTTTTCAATTAACCATAATGTTTCTTTTACACAAGGAACATAAATAATTACGTAGCCAACGCTTATTTATTATTGAAATATTAAGATACACCTGATAAGAAGAAGTTGGTATGTGATTTCTCAGCAGAGACAAAATAAACGGTATCAGCATTCTGACACATACTTTCTCCCATAAGTTTGTCAACAACCTTTATGATGTGTAAGCGGTGAGAGTAAATACTGTATACGGAAATGGGATTTGTACAATTTTGTTCAGAATTTAAAGGACTATAACATACTAAATTTTTATCAAAATTATTCGAGCCAATTTTGGGAAATCCGATTTTTCCGTTATTTTATAGGGTTTTTATGGGGAAATAACATAATTTACAATAACTTTTGAACCGTAATTTTTACAGAAAAGGGATTTGTACAATTTTGTTCAGAACATAAAGTACTATAACATACTAAATTTTTATCAAAATCATTCCGGCCATTTTTGGGAAAATCCTATTTTTCCGTTATTTTATGGGGTTTTATGGGAAAATCCCCATCTAAAATCAAAATGTCTAAGAAATGAAAAAAACTATCAAAATTGTAAGGACCATAACCTACTATGTTAAATCAAAACTGGATATTTGTCTAAAATCCTATTTTTCGTTATTTTATGGGGTTTTTATGGGAAAATAATATAATTTACCATAACTTTTGAACCGTAATTTTTACAGACATGGAATTTGTACCATTTTGTTCAGAATGTAAAGGGCTACAACATACTAAATTTCAATCAAAATCGTTCGGGCCATTTTTGAGAAAATCCGATTTTTCCGGTTTTTTATGGGTTTTTATGGGAAAATCCCCATTAAAAATCCAAATTTCAAAAAAATGAAAAAAACGCCTGGAGATACCATGGATTAGAACCTACATACCTAATTTCATCGAAATCGGACCACAGGTGTAGTCTCTAGCTCTGTACACATCCAGACACACACACACACACACACACACACACACACACACACACACACACACACACACACACACACACACACACACACACAGACATCACTTCGAAAACCACTTTTTTGGGTCCAGGGGGACCCAAAACGAATATATCCACTCAAAACTCAAACTCGAAAATTTTGACGAAAACAATACTTTCTCCATATACTATGGTATAGGGGGAGAAAGTAAAAATAGTACATTTATTCATAAAGTTAAGCTACCAGCAAGTATAGGCTAAGCGGATATTATCCTGATTTTTACTCTGCTGATGCTTTGGTAATATTAATCCTTTAACGACAGTTCGTACGTATTACACCACCAAACTATTCAAATAAATTCCAAATATTCCCAGTAAAGATCGAACAACACCAACTAAAGCTATAAAAGAAGTTTTAAGCTCACTAGAATGTCTTGAGCACGCCATAGAAGTAAAAAGTGCCACAAGTCTTGTCAATAGGATTTTCGACCCTACAAACTTCTGTAAAGGTTTATTTTTACGTTGATTAAGAAACGGAAGAAAACAATGAAAAATAAAAGTTTAGATAATTGGAAATTTCAAGGAATAATTAACTTACTATTTTCGCAAAATAAGATACATTGTTGTTCGTAAATTAAGGTCATCATAGAATTCCCGTCAAACTAACTCGTTCAAATCTAAGACCACCGTCGCGTATCCTATATCAGAAAAGTGTTTAAAGCCCGGTATATACGATCCGATCTCGGGACCCTAAATCGGGCCCGATCGTCGTCGGCCCTGAAATCCGATTGTGTAATCCCGAGCCTGGTCACGATTTGGCCGGCAACCAGGTAGGGAGGTCGGGAGATATTTCCATCGGGAGGAAAAGTTGGGAATAGCACACTTCCGCTGGGAACGGGACGAAAAAAAAAACAAAAAATAAATAAAAAATTAAAATGAATAATAAAAATCCGAGATTCTTTAATGCTCCACGCATAACTGTACTATTTTATTTATATGAGGACACAGTATTAAGGAAATCGGAAAAATCGCGAGCGTCATAGGTACTTGAAAAATTCCGAAGGTGTTTATCATCCGACACGTCCATAAGTCCTGCATGACTCAATACAGGTCTTTGGAGGTATATCAGTTTCATCCACATAATCTTTTTTGTTTCTTCATGTTTTGCACGCTGCCAATGCAGTTAATGCTACTCTTACAACTTTCCACTTCGATAAATACGGAGCCATTATATTACAATTTGAAAACATAAAAAAAAGCTTTAAGGAAACTTCACTTGCTAATTGGGGTGTGTCAAACTTTCAGGGCTTACCCGTAGTCCATGACAGTCTTATGGAGAGGTTATCTCTTAGTTCTACCACATTTCTCTTTCAACGCTGCAATTCACTTTCAATATTCCCCTAACTTCTGTCGCAAGTTTAAACGAGTCTGATGAACAACTTGTACGGCGTAAAACTTCCTGCAAATGTTTAAGACCACCTACGAGTACTCTCCAACTTTTGGTTACAACTCAGTAGCTAGTTATTCGTCAGTACTTTGCGGTGCAAAATGTTCGTGAAAAATTTCAAACTATTTTTGGAGCAAAATATATATTTTATATTTCAAGTGTTTCATAATATGTTTATTTCTCCTAAGAAAAAAGATTTGTAAAATCTTTTTTAAAAACTCGAGATGGTAGACATATCAAACTAAGAACACAGAAGGAAAATTAAAAATACTAAGAATACCTAATGAAATGGACAGAAATGTAAAAAATCTCATATTATCGAAAATAACCACAACTATTTAATACTAAGTGCTTGGGACGTTCTTTCAACGTCCATTGCTTGGGATGTTCTTTTAACATCCACCCATAAAAATATTATAACCTAAATGCACTTTTTTAATAGTAAAAAAAAATTATTTTGGTAGGTTACAATTTTCACAAATATTTCCTGGTCTGCTATCTCTGTCAACATGGTTAATTCTTTTAAAAAGTGTTAACATTTTTACTGCAACTCCTTTGAAGCGAGGCACGTCAATTTAAATTCCAATCGAATTCCAAACCAGTTTATCGGCCACTTACAGTGAGTGGGTCCGGCAAAGTTGGTTACCTAAAATTTGTTGGCAAAGGGAAGTTAAATCATTATAAGCCCGTTGGTTCAGCGATGCTTCAAATGGAAAAATGTCACTTTAAAAGCGTTTAGTTACTCACAAAAATACCACGAAAAAGCAGTTAAATTGATGTAAATTAATGACATACATGTTTTCAAGTTGTATTTTAACAATCTTTTGGACTCTAACGGTATCAATCTCAGATCTTAGCAGTAAAAAAACTATAAAAAGCATCAAAATTCATTCCACACTAACCCTTTATTCACATTCAGATTAAAGTAACCATTAAAGTTAGCGTCGCTGACAAAAAAAGAAATAACTATTAGAGTATAATAACATTAATTTCTTGTTTTAGTTGAAACATTGACACAAATAAACACATATAACCCTCTTTTTAACTAACTTAAAATTTTGTTATCTTTTCTATCTGATTATTAATGTTTTAAAATTGATATTCAACATTGTTTCAATGAAACCAGTGGACACAGTATTTACAAACTACATGTATCTTGTTTTCTTTTCACGCCACCACTCTTTTGAGAATAAGAACATACTATCATCTCGGTATAACTGATTTTCATAATAAAGACTAAATAGATTTATATAACATTTATTTTCAGAGCCAGTTTTTATCGTTGGCAATACATTTTGTTGTTGTTATTCAATGACTATTATATTAAATTATTCTATTTCTTACTTTTCGGCCCGTGTCTGAACTTGTATGAATATTTTGTCAAGTTATAAGCGTTAAAAATACAGATTAATATTTATAGACTGCTGAACTGAGGGATTATATTTGTGTTGTCTGCGCCGTATAGAATGGATTCAAACTTCATTCGTATGCAATCCACTTTCATATAAATATTCATTGATGATAATTACTATGAAGGTGGATTTGATATTGTTGTTTTTTATTGTTTAAAATGCAAAATCAATCTCCATAAAACTATCTGTTCTTTACAAACAAGACTTCATATTTTAGAGGAATAAAACGTTAAAATTTCTCACATCATAATATCA